TATTATTATTATTATTATTATTATTATTATTATTATTATTATTATTATTATTATTATTATTATATGGACACTACACACACATAACACAAAATAGACGTTTACTATATACACTTTTTTCACACAACTAATGTTAAGGAACTTTTCGTTGAATTATCACTATACTATTAAAATTGAAATTAAATTTACTATTTAAATTAAGAATTTACTAATTAATTTTAATTTAATTTTAATAAAACTAAGACTAATATTTAGGCCTACTATTTAAATTGGTAGTTAAGATGTTTTCAGTATTTGTTTTGTTACATGTTGAGGGTCCCTAATGAGCTTCTGCTGGATGGATCACCCATATTATACGGTATATGGTTCAACTAAAAATAAAAGATAAACCTATGTTTGATATGATACGATTTTTACAACATGGAGGCTATTCGAGCACTGTTATTATTACTAATCTATTTGTTTAAATTAATAAAAAGAAATGGAAAAGAAATGGAAACAAATTATATATGACGACCGTGATTCTAATGTGAAACATTTCAGATTGTTCAAATAAATTTTCGTTAAAGATTATAGAACGCGAGACACAATTATGCATCTATGTTGATGTCATCCTCACAAAATCTAGCACTCTTTGCTTATGCCAAATATTTAAATACAGGTTTCGTTTAAGAGGTCAACGTTTTCAAATAAGTTATTTATTTATTTTATAAAAGAACAAGGCATTTTATAAGAACGCTGACGTTGAAATTGCTTAAAAATTAAGAACAAAATAAGAGCTAATTGAGGCTGAGGTAAAATGTTAAATAAGGTTTTTATTTAAAAAGAAAAACCAACAAATCTTATCGGTACGGTATTTACAGTTGCTGTGACAATGTAATACCCTTAAAATATAGTAATATACTAATATGATTAGATATGATATGATAATTTCCTATGTTTTGAAGTGTGTAAACAAAAGAAGATTTTGTGCCTGAAATCGGCAAAAAAATAAGAACACTGAGCCTGAGCAAATTTTTGCTGGTTCTTATATAAAAAAATTGTAGGTTCACAGTTAAATAAACTAACTTTGACTCTTATTTTGATTTTTTTCATATATCGTGTACGGTATGTTTTCTGATCACCCGCCAGTTACGCAATACCAGTTTCTCATAATGTTTTAAAATGAATCTGTAGGCCTATTTTAGTGATAATTAATACAATAATGGTCATTCACTTGATTATTTTAACCACGATAATATGCTTTGGACAATGACTATCGATCGGTTAAAAAGGCATGATAAGTGATTCTACCTGATCAAAATTTTAAATGTTGATTTTAAGAACTTTTGATTGGTAATTTGTTGAATTGCAATGGCCAACATTTTCAGAACACGCAAGTATTATTGATTATTTGTTTCGTTACGTACGGTATGCCTACCCCCATTCGCCCATTTTCCATCAAATGCTTTTTGGAGTAAACATTTTGTTAAATCGTGTCAAGTTAAAAGATAAGGTTAAAATATGTCGGTCTCAAATCGAATACCTTCACAATTTACCGCCATATGTCCTAACTTTCAATATTAAATTTCATATCTGGAGTCTATATTATCGCTGACCTACGTCAAAACATTTTATTACCAACACAGATGAGATGCCGGTACATCATGAATGTTAGAATTGTACTTTGGATAAAATATGCGATAGGCCTATGAGTTTATTTTTTTTTTCTCCGCTATTGTTGAAAGCTATTCATTATCAGCGAACTGGAAAATATAATTTGAAACCCATTCCGTAGATAATGTATAATATGTATGTAGTCTATTTTAAGGAGTACATAAATGATCATTATCTTTGCTTAGAAGGGCGGAAAATTCACCGCTGTCCGTCGTAAATTTAATACGACTTTTGAAATCATACCTGAAATGACGGACGTTATGAGGTGAGGTGGATCCCGATTTGATCAAGTAAAGTTAATACCTTGTTCATATTTGTTGTATAACTAATTTTTGATATTTTCCAATTTGAGAAGTCCTTCACTTTTGTGTGTTTAGCAGTTTTATAAAGGAACCATGATACAGTCAGTACGATAAGCATTGTCAAAGTGCAAGTTTTGGTTCAATGAAATGACGTCATCTTAAAACGCTTATGGATTCGTTGGTCATTGACCTCTAGGTCCCGACAACCTGTTTATTTCCGAAGAAGACACTGTCTCGTGGTGGGCTGTATAGTATCGCGACATAATGTCGATTACAATGACTAACGCCTGAAATATGATGATGAATAAAATAATAAATCCCGCTCATGAACGCTCTCTTTTGTTCAGCAGTTGCAGAAAACAGATGAGAAGCAACGACCTTGCTCTGAACTCGATTGGAGTTGACATAACTTCGATCGTCTGTTAGCCAGAACATTACATGACATATTTCAATGACGAAGCACAATCGAAAATGTATTTGTTATGATTTATTAGGACTGGTTAATCAAAACTACCATGGTGTTTCCCTCTCTCAATCAAAACAATATTTCATTATGGCACTTTTATATCATTATTTTTCATGTAAATTACATTTGGAAAGCATATAACTCAAATTTTAATTTATTTTTCAAATAAAATCCGTAAATTTTTATATCTGAATTATTTAGTCGTTACCAAGTAGACATATACAATATATTATTTCATTTAAAAAAAAAATACAAATTAGCACTTTAAGTTAACAACAGTAGCGAAACTGCCGGATTTTATCATTTTTGTGATATAAATATGATTGATACATACCGAGTGTGGTATGGCGATTTTAGGATACAGTAGTGCCTATTCGAGGTACGTTGATGAGACACGCAAAACTACCGGTTTTGATTTAAAACAAAATGACAGGTAAAATTTGGCGCTAATTCGATAGGTTGCTGAACTTTGTGTGCCCTCTATTTTACTTGTTACAATGATGTCAATGTTAGATCACACCTTCCCATTCTAGTGCAGTACTACGAGTTATTGATACTTATAGTAACACATTGCATACAGACATGGTTACTAAAATGTTTCCATTTGTATTTTTCAGAAATTAAAATTGCAGAGGTTTATGATAAATAAATTTAATTGCCAATGTTGTATTAAAAATATTAGCAACCCTTTATAATCCAAATGCTGGAAAGGCCTATACAGTACGGTATTATTCAAGTTTTAAATTATACGACCGTTTCTATAAGCAACTCAGTATATTGATTTCATAGGTTTGGTGAATTGTCATTGTATTGATTTGGAATTGAAAATTAATTTTTAATTAATTTTTAAATAGTTCGTACCTGACTAGAATTTCGGATCGTACTTTTAAATAGATAAAACAATCGTTTACGAGGAAACAATCCCTTCTTATTTCAACCTCATCACATGACTACGAAACCCTTTGGCCCTAGTCCGTTCTTAAAAAATATATCTTTAGTAATTTGCATTTCTTTTGATTGTTCATGAAATGGTGTTAAAACGGAATACAATGGTTTTGTTCTGGTTGTATTTCTCTTTTACACGTTTCAAAGGCGTTCATAATGGGATGTTAGATTATAGCATAGCCTAGTACTTAAGATTCCGCTACTGGATAATGATGATGATTATCGCGAATTGCATGGCACCCAAACTAATTATTATAGGCCTATCACAAAAGTTAGTAAGAAAACGGTTAAATAGTGTCATTGGTTTATTAATTTTGCTAATTCTCGAATCAAACTTCGTTTTGAGTATTTTAGTATTAATTGACACCCACTTTAGAGACAGTGGTAGGCCTTCACACCTGCACCGTGGTACGTCCATACATCCGATGTATAGGCCCAAAAACAGTCATTTTAATGAAATCTATAACCATACAGAAACACTAAATTGAAATTGGTTCACGGTGGTCATAATAAATGACACGTTGGTCAAATCTTGCCGGTGTCAATTTTCAACTAAACCATTTTTTAGCTTTGCGCAGCAGTCTTTCTCTTCTATAACTACTGTCATCTGTGAATTCTATTGTGAGAGAAATTCCTTATTACATAATAGAGTCCACCGATCTACAAAGAAAGGCGCGAGCGGGAAATGATGTCCATGTAAATTACAGTTGCATTCCAAAGTACTTGCGAAAAAAATGAATAAGTTGCAGCAGTGATGGTGATATTTTTGGAACCCTAAAATTCATTTTGGTAAAATCCATATTCATCAGTTAATTTGTAATAACTTACAATTATAACGCAGCATACTACTTCCTTTTGATATTAATTAATTTTGTTTTCATGGATAATTTATAATTATATAGGCCTAATATTGATATTTTTTTTATAATAAACATCTTTTTTTAAGACACCATGTATTTTAAATAAAGTGACTGTGTAAACGCATGTTTGCTTGGTATTGTATTACAACATAATCAGTCTATAATTGCTTGACATACAAATATTCGTTCTTGAAATATAAAGTATGATAATAATAAAGTCGTTTACATATCATAATTTGATTCTCAGCAACAATAATCGTTATGATTAATGAATTTGCGTTTAGTAATTGGTATCACGACAGTGAAAATGAATTGAGAAGTATTATGTCAAATATAGTTTCGATGTAAATAAATTATATGATATATATAATATATATTATAAACTAATTTTATTTTTCTGTTATCATTTGTTAAATTTAATTTTATTCTTGTGTCATGTACGATTTGTGTGTTGTATCTTTAAAATAAGTAACAGTTCAAAAAGCATCCCAAGCCAAGTATATACTAAATTAATAGAGAAATTACAGATAGTTTTATATATAAAAACATACTGTAGGCCTACTATATTACTATAGCTTTTTAGAACATTATAAAATTATGCTTCCAAAATCTAATTCATCACTTCTTTGGTGTGCGATCAAAAATATTTCAAAAAGCATCATGGGTGTGACTTATGCAAAATGAGACATTTCTTAATCACTTTTCTCTTAATTGTTGAAACTATGACGTAACGTCCTTCATAAGAAAAGCCAAGATTCAACTTTTCACGGGTAATTAGCGAACAGGCCAATCACAGGTCCCCTTTTATGGCAGACCATGCATTATTGATATCATAAATTTTTGTGATCATGCGCATGACAGGTGTTCGTTCTTAATTTCCGTAATTTTGCAAAACTGGGCGAATTTGAAATCATTCCAACTTAGCCTGCCCACGACGCAAAGATGTCACGCCGAAAGCAGGCCAAACCCCAGCATATTGGGACTGATAGGCCGCCAGCTGAGACGTTACAAAACGGTAGGTTGAGTGAGAAAAGCAAGAGCGAAAGGGACTAGTGTGAGTGAGAGAACAATTGTGTAGTTTTGCGCAATGGATTTACCATAGGAGCCGAGGGCAATGCCTGACAGTTCATGCTCATAGTTAAGTTGGGTTGTGTAGGCACTTGTTCTGTGATATTTCAACGGCATGCCAAGATCTTCGTCCTTCTTTACCAATTATTTTTTTAACAAATCATTGTAATAACTATAACTTTGTCTAACAAATTTAAGTCCATGCTTAATTTTTGACTTTATTTAAAGTCTTGTCTCATAGAAATTACATTGGACCTATCGTCCAGAATTCGCTTTCGATAGATATCAAATCGCGATGATTTGGTATTATTACTGAATCAAAACGTTAAAACTAACATTCAAAATAGAGCTATTGTTGTAATTTTTATGTATGTTTTTGTAACTCTGTGTTTGAAAATTAGCTCTGTAAATAATCAAACTTCGATTCGATTGATAAGCGCGAATCGCACTTCTATTTAGGCCACTGTATAGTTAAGAAATAAAAATAATTTCATATTAATGTTAATAAAGGCCTATACTACTTTATACAATTTGCCAATTGCCTACGATCGTTTCCTTTTTCTGCTATAACATTAGCAAACGGAACTATGAAGACAAAAAATTATCTGTTCTTAGTTAAGGTGTTACTTGGTAATATCTAGCATGCCTCTACTAGTAAACATCATCATCTGTGTAGTGTATCACACAAAACAACCAGAGTGAACATAGGCCATACAGAACTAACCACTGTTCAGAACCACATCTGATTTTAAAATATATCGCTTCCAAAACTCCACTGATTGTTGTATTTTTAGAATAATATTACATTTATGTTGATTAAGTTTACTGCAAAACTCGGCACTTGGCATATTCATTTAGGGGATACTGTATGCTTGCGTAATGTTGAATATTGTAGGCCTATATACACTGCTGCGGTAGTTATTTTATCCTTATAGTTATGATGTTTTGTGTAAAAATAACATGCATGTTTTAATTTTCTTCCACAATACAAATGAATTTATATGGAAATTGTAATCTAGTGATAAAAATCCAAATGTTTTTTGCAAGCATAGTTACAGTATTCACCACTTTGCTTAGCAGGCCTACTACTGTTTGCTTTTTATACATTGTTACCTTTGGAATATGTAGGGCTACTGGTAAACTTTTTACAATATACGGAAGTGATTGAGTGCCAATGCCTCAATTTAATTATGCCGTCTGTTATTGTATGGCTTCTATAATTTTATCCATATTTGAATTTTTTGTGTCCTTTATGAGTACAAGATACACCTCTATGATGGATATTGTTAAATCATTAGTTGAAAAATTGAAAATAAAGACAGAATTTGTTAAAAATAAGTTACTATGCTAAAAGCTGATATAATTAGTAATGCAACATCACCCCGCACACTATTGTTCAAAATAATACAAATACTAAGTACTTATTACGTTGTACTAGAGCAATGCCCCAAATCCTCCTATTCACTCCATGGAATTGCTGCACATTCATAAACAAATGGTCTCTGTATTATTCTTTTAAGAAGACCAATTCTATTGTTTGAAGTAAAATCAAATTTCAATAGGAACAAGAAGACCCATAAGACTAGGTGAAATTAGCTACACTGTGCCTCTGAATTGCTGTCAAATGTATAATTCAATGAGTGAATATGAAACAATACGTCAATATAATCTTTCCTTAGAAATTTGCTGAATTTATTTTTATAAGATAGATGACTTGAATTGAGCAGGATATCCTAGTTTTATTTTTATCTTTAGTCAAACATGGCCCAAGTGTTTCATATTCTTTTGTCAGTCCCATGCTTAAATGGCCTATAACATAATTTTCTCAAATATAACTCAAATTAAATTTCTGTGATTTCTAAATTCAGGAGTATTAAAACAGATAAAAGTATTTCTATGACCTATGGTGGGTTTGATGCTGGCGAGGTGCAGCTGTGATGCAGAATTATAGAAAAACCATCTGGAATTTATGTTTTTATTAAGTTCTTTCATTAAAATATGCTAAAAGACAAATTGTTAAAATTGTTAACAAGGCCAAACTAGATTTTTTGGTGCAATAAATTTCCTACTGTTTGATTTAAACTAATCAATGCATCTACATATTTTGCTTGATATATAATTATGTATATATAAATGTGCATATTTACATATATTTGTGTGTATATATATATC